GCCAGGAAGTCACCTCAGTTTTAAAAAGAAGGAAAATAGTTCTGTATCTGAAGCACAAAGCATTTAAGCGTTGTAACCATACAGTCTAAGCTATACAATGGGAAATAATTACAGTCTATAATTGAAATATAGAGCTAGCAGGTAAGTTACCATCTGACATGGAAAAGGAGTGTGGGTTTTTTTAATTTCTTTTGAGTGACCATTAATAAGGGAAACTTAGTTACCAAGCTATGCGTGGAATATGCATATAGTTAAAAGAGCATACTCTGCAGGTTTTTTTTTATTCTGTAAAATTTGCAACTGTAATTAGTAAATTACCTAGACTCCCTCCTCCCATGCACATTGGTCTTACAAATAGGAGCCAAGCTCTTTGCCTCTGAATTCAGGATAGAATTCCTGCTATTTCCCTTCCCCCACTCTTTTTGCCTGAATTTAAATTAGTTTTTCTGGTAACTCTGGTAACCTGGTCTTGGATCAGGTTAAAGGTAAAATGTCCTCTTAAATCCTCACTGCAGAAAGTGAAGCAGAACTTCTTGGCAGTAAGGACAGCCTTCTGTAGCAGGAATAGAGCTGTAATTTTTGCTAGAAGCCAACCATTGAAATAATCATTCTGGTAGATCACTGCCTCAGGCCTTGTTCCTCTTTAGTACTTTGCTGAAAAAGATTATTAATGTCTAGGTGCTTAAAGTTTTCCAGATCTAAGGTAGATGGAGCCTGGAGAAGGGAACAGAGACAACATCAGTGTATAGGTAGATTTACTGGTGACATAACTGAAGATTGAAATCCTGCCCACTGATACCTAATGTTTCTGTTGTTTTAAAACTCTTTAAAAGTTGTAATCATGAGGCTCTGCTCTCTTCTCACTCTTTCACTGTTTCAAAAGGTAGTGTTAAACAAACACCTTTCTTTCATGGATACCTTGCTTGTTTTCACTCTGCCCATGAGCAGATATGGGTTTAAGGAGGATTATTGCACTCCGTGATGGTTCTGTTCTTATTAAGTAGCTCTGCAGTTCTGCTACTTGATTTTAGTGCATAATCAAAAGTCTGTCAGTAAATGACACAGATGAGAGAAAGCAAATTATCACTGTAGATACTGATAACAGTAGCTGTACATTTTGGGAAGTGTGGTGTTTTTTGCTATTTACCCTTTTTGGCTTACAGGAAGTTTATCTTAATGTAGGGTTTTTTCTCATAAAGTTCAGTTTAATGATTTAAAATGTCATTGGATGGATATGGGGGAATAGGTCTACCAAAGAATCTTTCCAAATTTGTTCCTCATCTAAAATGTGCCACATCTCTCAGTGCTTGCTAAATAGCTGGGATAATATTTTAATGCTAGAACTTAAAGGTTAGAAGGTAAGATTTGTACTAACAACGGAAGTAATACTCCATGCTAATACCGAATAGGCTATACTATTCTATCTCCTGGAATACAGCTTGATGTATTCGATGATTTAAGACTGAGCAGCAGAATTGTATTAGCTGGCATCCTAGCATAGTTCTCAAATTTAGATTCTCTAAATTCCCTATATTGTTCTGTATGTTCTCTACTGATGGTTGATTTCATCTGATGATGTAGTGTGAAGCATGACTTCTAATTACACATATACAGACTTGAATCTGTGGGATCACGGTAACAAAAAAGATCAGGCTTGGATGCGGATTAATATTTGGCAGTCTGTCTATTCCAGACAGCATATCCTATTATCTTCTCCTTGTCTTCCCCCTCAGACCAATTAACAAGTTTGCCAGCTAAGTAACACCTTTTTTGCATCTTAGAGCAATTTGCCAGGATTTTCCGAACTGTGCAACTGCATTGTGCTGTTCTAATAAATCACCACCTCATGGAATCTTATTCCATTTTTTTGAGAGTGTAAAAAAAAGAGTTGGCAGGTGGAACTAGGGTAGACTCATCTCAAATAAAACACACTTTTGGGATTGGAATGAACTGAAGTTAAGTTTTTAGAAGACACTGTTGCCATAAAGCTTGGCAGCTATGCAGATGGCTGATTTTGATCACATACCAAAAGAAATACCAAAAGCTCCTAGTTGCTGCATGATGATGTTCATTAAACTTTGGCTTTAGTCAGGCCACGTTGAAGGCTAGTGGACTTTCTAATAATTTATCTAAATAATAGAGCGTAAACTTCAGTTTTCATGGGGATTTGGTCCATAATCAGGATTGAGACCTTCAAAGATATTTGTATGTGGTTTAGTGTAGCTATGACAAACTATCTTTCTTTAACGCAAATAAATGGGGTTTTTTTGGTGAAGATTTTTATCCCTGCTATTTAACACTAGCAAAGACTGCAGTGCATCTAAGTTATATCTGAAAGATGTGAAGAAATTGATCCCTAGCTGCAAAGACAAATTGTGTGGCAATGTTAGCAGTCGGATCCTTGCATGACAGCATGATACTGCCTTGTGTTGTATCTTCTGGAAAATGGTAAGGTTTCTGGAATAATGAACAACCAGTGGGATATATTGAATATATGTCTTTTCATAAGTTGGCAACAAAAGTATTTGATGTTCTTATGTATTTCTTGTGTGCGTGTATATGTAAATCTACGTCTTGTCTTCAGTTGCAACACTTGTATCCTTTGTGCTAATATAAATCCAAGGTTTTGTATTTTGCTTGAAGAGTGTCAGTGTCTGGTAAAGAGGTAATGGATGGTGTATAATTGTTTTTATATGGGGGGTTTAAGTGTACAATGGATTAGTAACAATAGCTTATGGCTCTTCAGGAGAAAATGAGGTCTTCATGGTAGTCCACAGTGTAATAGGTTTTCATCATCATAAAAATCCATCATTTCAGTTAGTATTTCCTTTTCTTTGTGGATACTGCTAGCCCATAAAAACAAAGTAATTATATCTAATGGTTACTTTGTCCTTTTTTGCCCTTCCTCCGATGATCAAAAATCTTTTGGGTAGACTAGACCAGTGTTCAATGACCTGATTTAACTGTTTTAAAGACCTACTCTGTTGAGAATACAGTACTCTAGATAAAAACTTCCAGTGAATTAGTCTGCGAATGCTGTCTTCAGTGGTGCTTGTTAGTGTAGTATCTTGCATGAGTATATATTTTTACTGAACTTCCAGAAACGCAGAATTTAACAGTGAAACAGCTCTCCATTCACTCTGCCCTTTACATGCCAGAGTCTTTAGTGCAGGGAACATGCATGTATAAGAAATGGGACAGCTTGTACTTGCAGTTGTGAGTGAAAACTTGTTCAGACAAGTTCCTTCCCCTCCACGTGGGTAGACCTTGCATGAATTTATGTAACTCTGAAACAAGTTCTTAAAGATATTCAACTTTTTGAGGAATGATGAATATTCAGTTGCATTCTTCCATGTTCTTGACAGCTGTAAAATATCTATGGGTAGGTGATAAAAATGTGAGAGTCCTGATTTTTGCAGTTCCATTCATATGGACATACCTCACTTATACAGACCCCTTTTTAAAGTCTCAGTAATCCTATTCTGTGGCTATAGGAATCTGCTCATGTATGTCACGTTGAAGGGTTGGAAAAGTAAGAGAAACAAAGATGAGATTTTGTAATAAGTAGTCCATGTCAGAAGATTTGTATAAAGAGTTGTTGCTTGTTACTATATTCATGTTTAATTTTTCTTCAAATCATGTTTTAACTGTCAGCTGTTTCTATAGTGTGACCAGTTCTTCACTTGTTTTCTCACTTTTGGGTATATTCATACTGCCTAATCACATGCTCAGATGAGACATGCATGATACTTGTAGTCATCCAAGTTCTTCTCTGCGCTTACTGTAATCAATAACAAATTTCACTTGTATAATTATAGCTAAACTACTATATACCTGCCCCAGGCAAAAAAGAATATCTGTTCTTCTACTTAAACAGCTTGAAGATTTTTAGCCAGTGCAGAGCGTAACGAGGACTATAGCTTGAAGAAATATCTTGGCATTTTTTAACCTGTTCAAATTCTTGGGAAGTGATATTGATTACTATAGTAGCTTCTCTTAAAAATTTCACTTTTTTCACTTCTTACTAAAATATCAATAAAATCGGTACATGAACATAAAAATGCCTGATGTCTGAAGCTTGTAGGGAGGAAAAAGCCTCCTCTCGTGCATTAAATACTCCAAGCAAATCTAAAAATGAAAACTGTTAATCTCTTTCTGTGTGTCTTTATTCCTAACTTGGACTTTAGGTCTTTAAACTCCATTATGTTATATAAAATATTTTAAAATAATCTTACGAACAGAAAATATAGCAGGCTGTAACAAAGACTTTTTATGAACTGTAGGATGACCCTTTTTCTTTTCTGCATAATTTCAGGGTCTAAGCAATGATCACTCTGGCTATGATGAGCTGGACTGGGTGGAGAACTCCCAAAACCTAGGTTCAGTTACTGGAACAATAATTTTCCATTGAGTTAACATAGCTTTTGACACACCCTGAGTGGAAACATGACTTAAGAGTTTTAGATGTAGTGTTTGGAATTCAAATGGGTAGAAAGTAGGCACTGGTCTCCAGCAGAATCACAGCTTGATACATATGCAAAAACATGGAGTATTTATAGATAGTCTTAATGTTAATTGTCATAATGCATCTGTATGGGTTTTGGGTTTACAGCATGTATGTAATGCTTTTCAAGCTTTTTATATATATGTGAGTTGTCAGGAATCTTTTGCTGCTGCTTACGAGTGGTGGCAAGACTTTTGTAATACATATCAAATAAAACCACTTCTTTCAGGAAAATTCATTCCATGAAAGCTTGAAGTAAAACATAGTACCTTACTCTTTAAAATATCTGTTCACTTAATAGATTTCAATTAGGATTTTGAAGTTACATGAAGTAGTCATTGCATATTTACTCAACTCATGTCATAAGTAATTCCTAGTTTCTAGGCAGTAAGAAAATAATGTTGTTCTGTGCCTTTTTCATTTTTAGAACGTGTCAGTCATGAGCATTCATAATTGTGTTTGGTTTTTGTTTATTTTTGTTCCCTTGCACAACTCAAGGACAACATATTCTTCAAGTTCTTCAAGACTTCTTGCACAACGAGGAAAAAGAAGAAACATTTCAGTGAATGAGGAGGTTTTTGCTTCTATAGTGTTTTCCTTAAGAAGTGGGTCTTTGAATGAGGATGACAATGGAAGAGATGAAGAATGAAGCAGAGACCACTTCTATGGTTTCCATGCCTCTCTATGCTGTTATGTACCCTGTCTTTAATGAGGTAAGCTACATTTTGCTTTAGAATGTAGTAATCCCCTTTACATTGGGGAAACACGATCACAGTAACAGGTTGCTCGTCTTAATTGGGGAAGCTTTGTCTAACACAATATTCTTTCTGTGTATTGTTTTACCCTTTTTTCCATGAATACAATTTCGTGCTCATCAAAGATTACTAGTTGTCTTTGCCCTGATCTTTTTTCTTGCCTTTTACAGTGAATTTTCACCAAAATGCTAGGTCTGGCATTCAGTGGCAGGAAGTAACGTACAGTTGAGCATGTACCTGTGAACAGCTTGGTACATTTTAATTTTACTGCTAATGGCTATAATTTCATAGGATATTTGTTTTTCTGCGAGTATCAGAGATGGTCAAGATGTTCTCAAAAGCTTCTGTCAGACTTCTGCTGTAGGCTGGATAAATGCAAAATATGTCCAGTGACATGTTTGATTTTCATGTTTTTTATTTTGGGGGTAGTCTTTCCTTTGGGATTAAACTTTATAGTATCTCTCCCTCAAATGAGACCAGTAATTTGAATGCTTCTGTCAGTTCCCTTTTTCATTATGCTGTTTAAGGCAAGGCATGAGTACTTGACTTGTTTTGTTCTGATAACATTAGAATTGCTAATAATTCTAAACTTTTATTGCAGCTAGAAAGAGTAAATCTATCTGCAGCTCAGACACTGAGAGCAGCTTTTATTAAGGTGAGAAGTAACTTGTATTGAAGAATGATTGTTTAAAAGGTAAACCATATATGATGAAGCTAAAATGTCAGCTGTCTTGTTTCCTTGTGTCTTTCTGTTTGAAGACTGCATCCTTGATCCAGTAGTCTAAAAATAAAGTGGACAATTGCATGGACTGTAAGTTTGAAATGTCTGCAAATGTTATGAGTAGAAGTCTGAATGATACAAGCATATAGAGCAATTTTAAACAAGCAGAATCTTGTCTGTGTAGTACAAAAGCTTAAATGAGGAATCAGTCAGTGAAGGTAATAAGGTATAAACTTAGTCTAAATGTAACAAGACTATGTAGAATACGTGCTTATGAGAAACAGGCATGTAGCACACTTTGAAAATGGTTTACGAAGTGAATGGCAATGGGATTTTTTTTGTGGATGAGGATAAGGTCAATGCTTGTATTTGCATCCAGCAGTAAGTGGAAAAAAGATTCTTCTAACTTTTCTATTACATTCCTAAAGAATGAAAATACAGATATTACTTTTATACTGCTTTATTGAAGTGGTAATCTTTTTGAATTCTTTAAACAAAAATAATTCTAGACATGACATATCTTAACGTGTGAGCTATGCAACTAAGTAATACTGCCCTGTTCCTACACTTAAATGTAAGTGTACCTAGACAGTCTTAAGTTTCAACTAGAGCTCGTATGTGTTAAATGTTTTTCTGACTGGTGGTAAGGAGCTAAGCCGAATGCAAATAATGTAAAAACCAAGATATTGGTGGAAATAGTAGTGCTAGCTAAAAAAAAAAACACGCGCTCTCATTCTTATTCAACACAGCATAATTCTTTGGTAGCAGCACAGGTAGTGTGAATACCTCCAATATTAGTCTAGCTTAACTTTATTTAGATATGTCATCAATCAAAAGTTGTTTTTTTTTCTGAAAAAGCAATTCCAAGATGATGCTTGAGCATATGATGTGATTCATAAGAGGCACATCTATAAAATGTCATGTGGAGGATGGGGGAGTAGCACCTGTGTTTGAGTGAATTAAATTCCAATGGATACAATATCTTTGTCTCAAAGCTTTGTGTTTATGGAAATGTAACAGAATACAGAATTTAATGAAAAACTTTCTTATTCAAATTGAAATGAGTGGAAAGGCTTATTGGAAAAGTTGTTTATACAAAATCACTGTTGTAGTCCGAGAAAAATGGCTGTTGTAGTGGAAGAATGATTTTCAATTTAATCTGCTAGTTTAAAGCCATTAGACTTTTAAAGTTTCTAGCAGAGCCCTGCAGTATGTGAAGCAAGTTACATGAAAATCTGCCTTTGTGCTTGCAATATTCAGGTCTTACATATGTAAGAATAAAAATGTTGTTTCCCATACAGGCTGAAAAAGAAAATCCAGGTCTTACACAGGACATCATTATGAAAATTCTGGAGAAAAAAAGTGTGGATGTGAACTTCACAGAGTCTCTTCTGCGTATGGCAGCTGATGATGTAGAAGGTAATAGCTTAGCTTATGTTGAATAAGTGTATTTTTAATTACACTGTTAACTAGGAACATGCATTTCTCTATACCTATTTTCAGAAGAGGTTATTTGTTTCTTAATGTATTTTTTCAGCATGGTAGAAGAATACTTGTGTTTTCTCAATACCGCTTGGAGAAATTAAATCTCCCTAAAAAACATGCTCAACTAATAAGAGAAAGAAAGAAAAAGAATGTTTAGAACTCTGTTTATGTGGGTGCATATTTCACCTTTTGCAATGCTAACAAGCAGAAAAAAGCATATATGGAGTATAATACCCTCCTTTTCTCTGCTTCAGATTAAAAGCAGTAGTTATACTGTCAGAGAAGGGGAGCATACAGTAGGCTTTAAGTTATTTTAATACTGCATTTGATTAGTGTAGTGTCTTCAGTGTCTTGCTTAAATAAAGTAAGATGGGCTCTTTTTTCAACTTGCAATAATAAAGATTATCGTTGCACTGTGTTTCTATTGATGCAGAGTGTAGTCACTGCAGTTTTCTGGTCATGGCTATTTTTGTGATGTTCACCATCAAATGTAACATGGCAATACTGCTGCTTTTTGTGAAGTAGTGTTTTTAGCTGTCACTAGAGACCTGAGGAAAAACTAATGGTATTTTTGAACATGTTCTTCTTATTAGAGTATATGATTGAAAGACCAGAACCGGAATTCCAAGATCTTAATGAAAAGGCACGAGCACTTAAACAGATTCTTAGTAAGATTCCTGATGAGATCAATGACAGAGTGAGGTTTCTTCAGACAATCAAGTAAGTACTGTGTTATGTTTCTTTTTTTTTTAAGATTGAGGGGTCAAACTTTTTATTTAAATCTGAATGTTCAAATGTTGTAGGGGATGCTAGCAACACTGTTCCCATTGAAAAGGAGCCTGATCCGTGCTTATAAATGAGCAGGGTTGAGGATTTTTAATGACAGCCCCATGTTACTAGATTGAACTTAACTTGCTGATTCCTAGTTTGAATTCCCGTGTCACTGGTCTAGCTCTTTGCATTTGGTCTTTCTGCATCCTGTCTGACAGTTATTCTGTAGAGACTGTTTTAAGAAGTATTTGACTACTAGAAGCAGATTAAATTCCCACATTTAAACAGGATAGCTTGAGGTTATTACAACTATCTTTTATTTGCAAATAGGGACATCGCAAGTGCAATAAAGGAACTTCTTGACACAGTAAATAATGTCTTCAAGAAATACCAATACCAGAATCGGCGGGTACGTGCAATAACTCTTTTTATATAATATTTTTTTTAATAATATAAGAGGAAGCATATCATTTTGATTAAAGGATGAATAGGAGAGCTTAACTGGTGAATGACATAATACTTTAACAACAATATTGTTGTGTGGTAGGTCTTAGCAGTTTTATAGGAAGAGGGCGATTTCTCTGCACGTCGTCTAAAAAAAAAAATCAAAATTCCTGTACCTATGTAATGTTAGCCAATTTTCTTCTCAGTTTAACATCAAGATTCTGACTGTACCCAACAATATGTGAACTAAGACTCTGCTCCTGGTGTTTTTGTTTCTTAGGCACTTGAGCACCAAAAGAAAGAGTTTGTAAAATACTCCAAAAGTTTCAGTGATACTCTGAAAACCTATTTTAAAGATGGAAAGTAAGTATGTCTTTGTACTAATATTTTACGTAATGAAAGGTCTTGTTGACTAACAGGGGAAAATAAGCTTTTGGGCATAAGCTACCTTCTTCAGGATTCTTTTTTTTTTTCTCACCTGTGTCCTCAGACCATCATGGCTGCTTTAAAATACTTTTATTCCTTTTGTAATGCCTTTCAGGAAAGGGAAGCCTGTTAAATGTGGCACCATACAACACCCATGGGCAGTATTAGCTTTAAATTTGAATATGTGAAATTAAATTTCATGGCCTTGTGTGTTTTTTTTTCAGTGACAAAAAAAATTATGAATGCTTTATTGGAAAAAGTAATCTACGTATTTGAAATATCATTTGCAAACACTAAAGATCTATGCAGTGTTTTCTTTGATTTACATTTTTATTGTCCTTTCTTTATAGCTCCTTATAGTCCTTCACAGTATTTGGAATTACTCAGCTGATTAATTTTTTTATATTTGAACATTTTAGCCTTCAAACTGAGGCTTTTTTTAGGTCTTCACCTTGGCTTTTGAAGCCACTATTCTTGTATATTTCACTGTAGTGACTCTTTTGGATGGCGAGTGTATCCCCCTCAGATTTTGACAGTGCCAAAGTGTTCTGTGTGCTACTGTTTTAAAGATGAGAACTAACTTTCATGTATGGTCTTGTTGAGCTTGGCAAAGACTAAGAGCACCCAGGGGATGGTGCATTACTAAAGGAGAGACAAATTTTGAGACCAGCTGTGCATGCTACCTTGCTCCTATCAAAGCATTCTTTTTTTTTTCCCTGCTCCTTTTGAAATTGGGCCTAAATTTGGTTATGATACCAATATGAGAAATATAGACATGAGAAATATAGCTTTATGATTATTGAACAGATGTATAGATAAGTCTTCACATGAACTAGATCTAAACAGTCTCAGCTGATAAGAAAAATGTTTGAACAAATGGGGAAAGGGTTGGATGTGCTGTGCATGTACCCTACCCCAACCATACTGAAAGAGACCAGCTTTGTTTAGCCTTACGTGAAGTGAATGCTGTGCTGTGTATTATGGGCATAAGCTCTAAGTGTGTTGGGTATTATCAGTATTGCAAGAAGTCCTAGGTAAGGCTTGTATTTCATATCCTTGTGGAATCTGAAGTAATTTAAATCTGAACTGCATGTTGAATAAGATACCCTGCTCTTACCAGAAAGGAACAGCACTAAATGAAAGTCATGCTAACAGGTGTCATTACGGAGCTGAAAAACTCAGTGACCCCACACCTCTTTCTTAACAAAAAGGTAACTAAAATACTGTGTCGCTTCCACATGCGTACATGCTTAGTATTTCTTGAGGAAAGAGTTGCAAATTCTGAAATTACTAGGGGATGAAATATTCAACTCTGAAAAGAAGAGGCATTTAATGATCATCTGTTCCACTCTTTTCCTCAGTATAGCTAAAACCCCAGAACTAAATGATTGAGATGTCAATGATGATTGAGAGCCGAAGTCTCAAGTTCCTGCCAATAAACAGTCTGTCTAGGATTAGCTATGCAAATAAGTTTATCTGTTTGCCAGCGGTAAGCTTCAGGTAGATCACAATATGGTAAAACATCAATACGCTTCCAATTTGCAGAGCCTAGATGCCAATATATTTAGTTGCCCAAACTTAACGCTGTATTTATTGAATGACATGGTTCTAAAAATGCCTGAAGCAATATCTTTCTCTTTTAACAGGGCAATAAATGTGTTCATAAGTGCCAACCGACTAATTCATCAAACCAACTTGATACTCCAGACCTTCAAAACTGTGGCCTGAAAACTGTATATGTTGAGAGTTGTACTTTTCAATGGTGGATAGGGTACCTTTATATGTAAATTTTAAAGTTTTGACTGTATAAATTATCAGCCCCTCTTGAGGGGCCTAATGCAGGATTTCGAATGGGATTATTGCCATCTTACACCATATTTTTGTAAAACATTGTAGCTTAATCATAATCTCACAATGAAGATTTTGCATCACTTTTTGCTATTATCATTCTTTTCAGAATTATAAGCCAAAAGAATTTACGCCTTAATGTGTCATTATGTAACATTCCTTATAAGAATTGTAAATATTTGGTGTTCTGTTTCTGACATTTTAACTTGAAAGCGAAAACTGCAAGAATATGTATTTAACAATATTGGTGGCAAATATTCAATAAATAGTTTACATCTGTTAGACTGTCTTTTTGTATGTGAACAACAATGCATAACTCATCTTTCTAGAACTACAGAACATTCATTAAATAGAAAAATTAAAATTATTTGGGTGCTTTAAGCTACTGGCAGTTCAAATCAGTATAAAATTAGGGTTTTTTCTTAAAGCTGAAATTTTTGGCTGTGACCTAATACTAGACCATAATACTAGAATAATTCTATTTAAATGTCTTTGGGAAGATAATAAAGAACCCCAGAAGCGAGGTGTGCTTTTGTTTTTGATAGAAACTGAATCCCACTTCTTTCTTAATGTTCTGTTGCTGGTGAGTTAACAGGTTTTTACTCCTAGACTATTCTGAGGTTTTGAGTGGAGAATTACTTTAAATATATGCAGCCGACTATGCAGCAAAAGGTGAAGTTAAAATATTAAGATAACTGGGTTTTATATTGGTACCCTTTTGGGAGGGAGGAGGAGAGAAGATAGAACTCTTCCAGGTAGCACTAGTGATGTCTATACTATGCATGCCATAAGGCAACTTTTTTTTCAGGGACTGAAATCATGTGAGACCTCGATTGGAAACCAGACTTGTCTATGTAGATGGTTAAGAACTGCTGATGGACAGATTCAGATTTTATCATTGTGATTTCGTGGTAATATTTCACAAGTTCTAATGAATATCTTGCATGCCCCTTTGAAGTGCACCTTGAGTTTATTTTGAAATAGAATTGTTACAGAATAAACTTCTGAAAGTCTTCAAAATATTTACATGGCCATAACTAGTAAGTTTAGGAAAGAACACGAAGCAGTTTATGAAGCTGCACAGGCTGTTGCAGAAAGATCACTTCAGACTGAAAGAGCGCAATTGCTACAAAACTATTCCTTGTTTAGGTATAAACGATGAAGAAAAGGTACAGCCAGACTTTTCTTGCACACTGGCCTGGTGCCGTATTGCTCATCTGGGGCAAGTGCCTTATCCAGAGTTCAGCAGCTGGGTCTTTGAATTTGGTTATCTGCTGAAATGATCTAAAAGGAGAAAATGATATCTGCAGCCCTCCAAAATAGCTCTGGATGTTCTGCCGTATATCTGTGCATGGAAATGTTTCCTTGATGAAAGCACTGACTGTAGTGAAATACAACAATGTGAAGGAGAGTATTATGTAAAAACGAGTTCTTGGGAATGTACGTTGTGAATTTCCTGGTTACATAAAGCTATAAATGGGACATGGTCCTTAAAGCTTGCTGTTCAGGCTGTTTTGTTTTGACAGTGGTGTGGTGTGTTTACTAGCAAATCGAGCTTAGTAACATGACAAAAGGATGCATGTACAATTTATAGTTAAAACTTTTTGTTATTTATTAAAGCTTGGCGTGCTAAACTATCATTTCTTGGAAAGTGGTAGAAGAGAAGCAACGTTAGCAGTTACAAGGGAGGCAGCCCGACTCATTTGGAGTAATATTTAATTTTGAATTCTGTAAGTATAAAGATTGAGTAGTCTTTCTTGCAGATGGTGTTAACTTACGTCGTAGCACTAAAGGACTTAATGAAAATTAGTTAGGTAGAAGAAAGGGAAAGGCACCCAGAGTTTCTGATACTTCATTTGTCTTGAAAAGAGTGTTTCGTACTGGGGAGACTGCACCGGTGACTGTAAGGAGAGACATGAAAGCTTGTGTTATACTTTGTGAATTGGACTTAATTCCAATAAAATCCTGAGATTTTTCTCTCTTCTTGACTTGAGAGGGACAGAGGCTAGTGTTGGCAATCCTTATTAATTGAATGTTTACCTCATGTTTATGTCTGCAGGTGTAATTAAAAAAAAATTATCACTTGGGTCCCAAGCGAGATGCTGTGTTATACCCTGCTAATTGATTCATCGAAGTTAAAATCAAAGAGGCTATCAAGAAATGAACTGTTCCTGTTCATCAGTTCTTCCTAAAGCCTTTATTGGGTAAAAGGTACCAAGTATAGGGCTAAGCTTCAGGTAGTCTGGCCAATATGTTTTGTTTTATTTGTAACCTTATTGTGATTTCTTTTTGTTACCCTTAAAAGTAATGGAAAATTATTCATTGTAATCAATGTCTGGTAATGGGAAAACTTGAAAACTGATGTCTTCGGGTCACGCTCTTCTATTGTGTGCAGTGAATCCATATCTAGTGGTCTTACAAACTTTATTTCCCACTGAGTATGCGCTGGGGCATATGTCTGTCAAATTTTATTGTGGTTTTGCACTTTATTATTCAAGTTACCTGAGTAGCTAAAGATAAGTTTTTTTTCTTAAGGATTTCTAATACAGCAGTTAGTGTTGTGAAATGCTATTAGAAAATTTCTGCTGTGAATGTGGGTTATAATGAATATGATAATGTTAACATACAGAAAACCAATCTAATAAAGAAAATAAAACTTTGTATATTTGTTAATGAAGCAAAGAAATGTCTTAATCACTTGCTTTGATCTTTCTCAGCCTATAAAGAAATGAAGAAAAGCTTAGATTGACTTATTTCTGGTTAGAAGCTTCTTGCTTTAATACTGATAAAAAGTTTTGTTTAAAAGACTGTTAAGATGTGCCAGATGCCCACCTCAATATAAGCTTTATCTTGAGTTGACATAAAGTGGTAAGTATGAAATTTCATGCTGTTCTGGTGTCGGAACATCTATTTATCCAGACAGTAAGATGAGATAGTATCAGTCTTGATTAAGCGTTATCTTTTCATATAATCTTATCTAGATTGCAACTGAAGTGTTCCTTCTTAATGTTCTTCTCGGATCCTTCACTGTGTGTCAAGGGAAGACATGCCTTAGTTTATTCTGCAGGTGTTATCCGATCTCTTTATTTTACAAAAAGACTGTGTATGCTTCTCTGAATTGGCTGGGGAATGAAAAGAAGGTTATCTAGACAAGCTTGCCACAAATCTAAGTTTTAGATTATTCCATTTTGAGGGGGAGATAAAATAAATGTAAGTTACGTGTGAGATACTAACAACCACACTTGGCGCAGCAATGATTATCACTTACCTTTGGAGTAGGCACTGGCTGTTGTGCTTGAGAATATTGCTTTGGCATGCTCAGTCACAGTTTCTACCTGTGAGCTGCAGGAACTCTTCTGGCTTTGCATAATGATTCAGTGCCTTTGTTCACTTTGTCATTTTTCACCCCACTGTTTTGGTTTTCTTCGTACTCTTCTGGGCAGATGTTGCTTTCAAGAGACCAGTAGGAAACGTGCTTCAGGAACAGAACCGCTTCCTAGCAGCAGCCTTAGTGCTAAAAAGTAGGACTGAAAAGATGCTCCTGGATCATCTAGTTTGGCTTCCTGTTGCAGAAGTTAAAAAGTACTATATAACATTGGTCATGAATCTGTCAAGTTCTATTTTAAAGCCAGCTTCTTTGTCCTCATTCCTCTTGTTAGATGTCATTTTAGAACAGTCTGAAAGAAAAAAACCACCTTCAAATACCGAAGTTTAATATGCTGCATAAATTTAGTTTATGATGAAGAATTCACTAACCTTGTCCCCAACCCATTGTTCTCTTTTTCCCCTCTTCACCTAGTCTTGGGATGAACTGTATACCATCTTGGGCTTCACTTTTTAAAGACGCACAGTCCCAAGTTTTTGGTCCTCTCTAAAAAGAGTACAGGTATCAGCAATGCTAAATTTGCTCCTTTGAGGCCAAGATAACAATTTTCAGCTTGTGCTTGTAACACAAACTTGAATTTTGCAACAAAATTCATTGGAGATGGTGTCTCCAAGGTGGAGGAGGAGGGTTTGGCTCATCTAGAGATTTCTGCGGAGGCGATGTCCCTTAGCTTCTCTGTCCCTCTTTCCTGCCTCACAGCTTGGTTGTGATTTTGTAGACATGGTGCTTGATTTCTGAGATGATGCAAAATGCTTCTGACTAGGTACAACGCATAGCAGTTGTCTTGCTGGATGGCGTAAGCATCTTCTCCATAACTTCTTAATTTGTGCCTTTTCCCCCTTGGCCGTCGCTCAGATGTGGCTGCTGGAACAGCTCGGGAAGCAGCACACGATGCCGCGGGGTCTGTCGGCAGCACGCTGTCATGCCAAGGACTCGTGTAGTGTGGGGGAGAAAAGTTCTTCATTAGGCATTTACACCAGGACTGATTCCTAGGGGATCGTGTGTGATTCTCTTTTCTCTAATTTAGCATATATTGCATATCATCCTCACAACTATTTTTGCAAGATCTGTGCAAGTACGTGGCTTTTTTAATGGCCATTGTAAGGATGAGGAGTGCAGCTTGGCAACATTTGAGGTGTGAGAATTGTTTGTGCCTGCATTGCGCTCATCATAAAAAGCTTGGACTGTGATAACGATACCTGGACGCTAACAGAGTATATAATTATAGCATAAAGGATTTAATCTTTCCCTTTTCTGCCACGATGCAGTGCTTCTTATCACAGGTCAAACTGTGTTAAGATGAGTAAGACTTTACCTGGCAGCATATGCAGTGAGAAGTTGCAATTTAGGAGTCTACTGTTCCAGAAAATGTGCATTGTTGGGTAAAGATTAGTTAAAAGTTTGTCTTCGGTTAGACTTTGCTATTGCTGTTGCTTTGGAATTTGTTTCTTGCTACTAAAGATTCATAGGTGCTTCCTTTTTTAACAAGTAACCAAAAAAGGCCATGGAGTTCAGTTGTTTTTGTAGGGGCTGTCAGGGACTGTGCACTTGGGAGCACCAAGGGGAAGGGAAGCAAAAGACTGAGCGTTGTTGTGGATGGTAAGCTCTTTTTACCTTAGAGACAAAAGTGTTCCTACTTACTAAGTGTATTGAAGGAGGCAATGGAATTACAGCACTAAGTAACACATTATTGGTGACAAGGTAAGCAAAATAGGTTTTCAGTTGCTGATTTCTAATGCACACTCACATCTGCTGTATAAACGGTTGTGAATTTGCATTTGGTATTGTAGTCAAAGGGGTCATTGTACCTGATGGATATAACAATTTCAGAGAATATTTTGTAGTATTTCACTAAACTAAAAAGTTTAAACCTTATATCTAAATTAGGCATGT